TTTAAGATTGAATTCTGGCAGATCCATTACACCAAATTCTGCTGTTAATTAAATCAGCTGCCCTCTGCACATTCCGTGTGCAAGTTGCATTATTGTGTGTTCTGGTTTGGGTCTGGCTTATGGGTTGCCTGACCCAGAGGTTGCCCAGTTAGAAAAAAGTTAGAAAAGGTGGAAAAGCGCTGCATATGAATGCTCCTGTATAGAATGCGGTTTTTTTCTCCCTCTCTCTGTTCTCTCTCAGCTCCTTCCCTTTGTGCCAGATGTATAACAGGAAATTAAAAATATTTATATGTAGTAAATGCTGCATTTGGGCGAGAGTCTATCTGTGTGCGTGTGTGTGTGTGGGTGTGTGGCTGTTTGTTGCCTACTTTTTGGCATATTCTCCTGGTCCCTTTGTTTGAGGTTCTCGCTCTTCGCTCACTTGTTGGCCCGGGTTTTGTTTGACTGTTTGCATTGTTTTCCACATGGGCCACATTATTATGATGTCTCCTCGCTTTTCGCCTGAATGAAGTGCAGCGCACATAAGAGAGAGAGAGAGAGAGAGAGAGAGGGAGAGCTCTCTAGGGATGCACGAAGCTCGTGTCGTGAGTGGCAGAATTGCGGAATGTGCAACAGAAACTCCGTGCAGCTGCTCACGCTTCCATGTCTAGATGCACACACTCGCACACTCTCTGACTCACGTATCTGCTGGGGTCGCCTGTTGGCGTCAGCTTCGCGATTTTTCATCAAAGTCACGACGGGCAAAAGTTGGCGGCGAGAAGCTGCCGCTGCCACTGCCACTGCCACTGCCCCATTGTTGCCTCTGACACTGACACCGGAAATGAACACATTTTCCGGTGGCATACGTGGCACGTGTGTGTACGTGTGTGTGTGTGCGTGTGTGTCTGTTTGCTCACGGGAAAATGGAAGCAGGCAGCAGGCAGCACTGAGAGATTGAAAGTCGCTTAATGTATTGTTTGCCAGCGCGTTGACTTTCTCAGCGCTCTTTGACCAGAAATACCTTTCTTCGTGGCTGGCCACTTGCTCTGATCTGCCCGCTTATTAGTTGTGAGTGAAAGAGATTATGGCAGAGAGCGAGTCCATGGCCCTGCTCCTGCTGCTGCTGCTGCTTCTGCTGCTGCTACTCGTGCGAATTTAATTACTTTCATCGCACGCTCCCACCGCGTAAGAGAGAGAGAGAGAGAGAATGCAGAGTGCCAGAGCAGAGCACCTGGACGGTGGAGGTGTTAATGAGATTGGTCTGCTCTGCTCTGCTCTGCTCTGACTCTCGTGCGTTGCGGCATCAACTTGAGCACACAAAGCCCCGCCTTGGTAGGGGAATTGCCGCAAACATTCATATGGTTAAGTGCAGTAAGAGGGTCCCGAAGCCTCAAATATGACGCTGCGAGTAGTCGAGAGTCTCGGTCGCGGTCTCAGGCTGGGATGCCAAGACTGCAGCTGGGAGGAAGCGCTAAAGTAATTACTTCGACTCTGAGTCAGACTCAAAGCCGGCTCAGAGCCGACTCAGAGCCTGCTGGCCCAGCAGGAGTGTTGGAAAAGTGTGATCAAAGTACTCAAATAATACGATTTAATTAGTTACCCATTCAAGTATGCCAGGATTCTGAACTTCAAATGGATTTACTACAGGTAGTAGTGCCTTCGCTCTGCTCTCTCTCTCTCTTTCTCTCTGCGTCTCTGATGGCTCCTTAATTAGCTGTTAAAACGTTTCGGCAGCTGCCAAAACAATTACACGCTTTATTTCCAGGAACGGCACGTTTTACCTTAGTTGCAGCCAGCCCACATCCTGTAGCCAGCCAGCAGTGCACCTCCCTGTTGCCTGCCTCCCCAGTGCTCCTCCTCTTGCTGCTCCTCCTTCTGCTGCTGGAGGGAGTGTGCTCTAATCCCGGACTCAGATCGTTTTACGCTGCCGCCGCATGTGGGCATTAAGTTAAATGCCAACGTAGACGACAAGAGCAATGATGATGCTACCGATGCCGATGATGATGATGCTGGGGATGCTGATGGGTATGCTGCTGAGTATGATTATGATGATAAAGTCCCGAGGATGATGCCCTGTGGCACTGCTGCTGCACCAAGAGAGCGAGCGGCACAATCTGCTGATTTATATTATTGTCACGTTTATGGCCAGATTGGGATTGAAATTGAGACGAGCCTCGGCTGGCAGTGTGGGGGCTGGCTGCCGAGGCGTCTGCAGATGCGTTAATCGTGGGCGCGCGGGCCAGTTGGGTCAGTGGGTGAGTGGCCGATTGAACGACGTTTCTGCTTGCGGTGCATTGCACTTTTTACAAGCAATTAAAGTGGCCATCCAATTGGACACACACACACACACGCACACAAACGGCGCCAGAGAAGATGAATAGGATAATGGGGCAGCGGCAGCAGGAGGGCGACAGGAATGTGGCTGTGGCAAACTCTATTCACGCTGAAGACACGGCAAGGCAGCTGTAAATGAATAATGAATGCAATTCAGCAAAAAATATATATTCAATTCAATTTGGATGCGTCACTCGAACGAACGGCTCGTCGCTCATTAATTTATGACAGCCATTTTTAACGCTTTGCTGGCCAGGCTGCCCCCACAGGCTTCTGCCACTGACAGTTGATGCAGCATCCACACCCATCCCTTCGCCCATCTGCCGTTGCATGCGTCAAATATTCAACGCCATTTTTCAATTGAATTGAATGAATTTTTGAATTGAGTGCACGAATGCCGCCGCTGCCACCGTCACCCTGACAAATGGCAAGCTAACAAACAAGACAGGAAAAAACCTTTGCTCCAACAGGCTGGAAATGTGTTTTTGGAAAGAGTCTCTTGGCTACGAAGAAAGGCCAGTAACGGCAGTACCCGGGAGTTATATCTGGCAATAACGAAAGGGTATCCCCAATAACTGGAGGACTCCTGCCATGCCGGACTTGTTGTAGCTCTGAATGATTTGTGTTTGGCCTCTTTGTTGACGGGCCATGGCCAGAGTCCGAGTCCGAGTTCGAGTCCCAGCCCGAGTCAGAGTCAGAGTCAGAGTCAGAGCCATTTTGCCGGGCTTAGAGTGGCAATAATTCATGCCCCACTGATGGGGCTTGTCAACGTTTTGGGGTGCCATCCAAGCAGGAGGAGGTGCAGCAGAGAGGGGAGCACACAGTCATACATGGGCAGACATTAAACTTTAATTAACTACAAATCCACTGCAATTGCATTTACATTCCCCTTCTACGCTCCACCTCTCCTTTGGCTCCTCGTTCTCTGAGCTAATAAAACATTTCAAATATTTTTGTCGGCTCGTTTCTTGGGAGGGTCGCAAGGACTGGTCCTGGTAGTGTGTAATTTTGCACATTTCATATGAAAAGTTGGCAGCCACGCCGGAACTTTTTGGCCAACCAAAAGGATGCAGGAGAGTGCAGAACGGCACGGCACGCACAGTGGGACGCATCACATGCGAGATTTGTGGAATGTTTCGTCTAAAAACAAAGCACTAAATTAACAAAACCAAATGCATAATAAAGTTAAAATAAATAACAAGCCCTTGAAGCTAAAGCAGGAATTTTCCTAGCTTTAAGTCTGCCGTTGTATTTCTTTTGGTTGGTTAATTCTGATACATTCTCAGTTATGTACAGACTCAAACAAATATAAGAAAGTTACAAAAATAAATAAACATAAACAAATATTACAAAAAAACATTCAAAACATTAACAATTGTAGAAAACTTCAACCATTTGTGGCTTTATCCTAGTAAGTTTCCATTCTATTGACCCGAAAAAGGAAACACCCAAGCAATTCTCTTCTAAAATTAAATTAAATTAAGTTATTCATGATGTGCTTATCAAGTACTACAACCTAAGTTCTTACATTCAAAAGTTGCCATTTTGTTGCACAGTGTAATTAATATTTGAACAGTTTGTGTTTAATCAAATAAATAAGCTGAGTATTTCATTCCTTTTTGGAGATCCAAGTTGAAATGCCAAGCATCTGTCCCACAGTGCACAAGGAAAGTTTCTTACGGCAAAGATTAACAGAGACGGAGCCCAGTACTGGGGCAAGGAGTGTGGTGGTCGGAGGGCGCTAAGGAGCCTGGTGCGTGTTGCTGCCAGGCGCATGTTTGGCAATGCGGTAAACCAAATTATGTGCTTAGGAACTTGCCGCTGCGACCAGAGTCGGTGATGGGGCGAGAAACCACACAACCACCGAAGCCCCAGTCCCAGTCCCAGCCCCACCCAACCCACAACCACCAACCACCCGCTTTTTGCCGCTTTGTGTGCGTCTTGCAGCTGCATTTACACAGCAAAAAGAGCTGCTCCACAACGCTCTCCCCTTTTGGCCCTTTGCCTTTGTGCCTTGTCTGCTTGCACTGCTGCTGGCCGGCGCTCTTTGCACAGGTGTTCCATCCAAAAACTTTGTGAGCGCCGTGGCAAGATGATTAAAAAGTTTTCCTCTAAGAAGAAAAGGCAGAGCCTGCATTCAGTTGAGGTCCAGAAACCTCAGTCGCCAAATTGTCAATGCCCGCCACCTTTGACAGCAGCTAATGATGGGAAGCGATACATTGAGGCTAAAACTAAATTAACTATGCCCGAACACTGGCCAACGATTGGTCTACTGAACCTGTGGCTGGATCTCATATAAATATACATCATTTCGTCCATAAACCATTGAATTACAATCGCAACTCACAGCTTAAACACTTCCACAGCTTTTGTGTTGAAAATGTTCTACAAAAGTTTCAAATATTTGCAAGATTTCTAACAGCTCAGGAGACACTTTCGCACGCTCCACGAGGAGCCATGACCGAGTCATCATGCCATAGCTAATGACCAAAAATATCTGCCTGCCCGCCCGGACAATCAAGGTCGTTTTAACAGATCAAATCAGAACAGTTTAAAAATAGAATTTGCGATATTTGCGACATGCTCGTGTGCGCAGTGTGGCGATGAGTTACGGAAAGTACCACAAGCTATAAATCCTTCGTTCGACGACGATCCCTGGCTGCACCAGTAACAAGAACAACGTTGGGTTGAGTTTGTCAATAGTGGTTTACGTGGCGTACAAATAGAAATTCAAAATGCATCATTCTAAGGCATGATCATGCGGGGTTTGGGTTCTGCTGGGCCTTTAGGCGAAGCGAAACATCTGGGAGTATAAAATCAAATTAATATACAGAACAGTGGACATGGCGATGAGGGCGGCAAGGCGGTATCATTTCTTTTTGGCATCCTTCAGACCGGCGCCGGCATTGAACTTGAAGAAGATGATGTCACCGTCCTCGACGGTATGATTGCGCCCCTGCTGGCGGTACTTGCCAGCGGCCTTTGCGGCCGCCTCGCTGCCCTCGGCCTTGAAGTCGGCAAAGTGCATGATCTCAGCCATGATGAAGCCCTTCTCGAAGTCAGTGTGAATGCGTCCGGCGGCGGCCGGGGCTTTGGTGCCCTTCTGGATGGTCCAGGCTTTGACCTCGTCGGGGCCAGCGGTGAAGAAGTACTCCAGTTGGAGTGCCTTGTAGCCGGTGATGATGATCTTGTCCAGCTGGCTCTTGCACTTGGTCTCCTCTTCGTAGGCCTTGCGCTCGAGCTCATTCTTTTCGCTCAGCTGCTGCTCGAACGCGCCAGAGAAGGGGATGAGCAAAGCGCCGGGATCGTTCTTGTCGATCCACTCCTTGATCTTGGGCAACCACTTGTTTTTCTTGCGGATGAAGTCCTTGTCCGAGAGGTTCACCAGGTAGATGACCGGCTTCGAGGTCAGGAACAGATACTTGTTCAGCGCCTCAATCTACACAGGAGTGAGCGAGAGGGCGAGAGAACATTAGTAAGAGCGGGATGCAATGATTGGGTTTTGGTTGCTTCGCGCTCACATCGTGGGCATTCCAGTCCTCGAAGCGCAGATGACGCTTCTGGTCGATCAAGATCTCCTTGATCTTCACCATGGAGTCGTATTCGGGCTTCAGCTTCTTGTCGCCGCCACGGGCCACCATCTTCTCCAGCTTGTCGAGGTTCTGCAGCAGCTTCTCTTCGTCCTTGAGGCGCAGCTCCTCCGAGATGATCTCCAGATCGCGCACCGGGTCCACCTCGCCCTCCACATGGGTTACGTCGGGGTCCTCGAAGGCGCGGCACAAGTGGAAAATGGCATCGCAAGCGCTGATGTGCGAAAGGAAGTCATTGCCCAGCCCCTGGCCCTCGGCGGCACCCTTGACTAGGCCGGCAATGTCCACCACATTCAGGTAGGCCGGCACCACGCTGCAAACCACAGAAGTCAGTGACACATTCGTAACGAAACTGAAAGCACAAGGAGGACTTACCTGGCCGGCTTGTGGTACTCCACGAGGTAGTCGAAGCGCTCATCGGGCACCGGTACGCGACGTGTGGGTAGGGCAAGAGCAATCACATGAAAATAAATAAGGGAAGAGAAGAGACGGCGGCAATACGCATGTTAGCTGATATGGCAACGATTGGGAAACCCCGGCAGCCTCAGCGGGCAATCATGGCAATTTTCTATAATTTTGTACAATCCACCGAGCGGCTTGGAGTCCGCAAACCAAAATGAAGTCGCTCAAGAAACTGAAACAGATCCGAGGACTGAATGGACTGGAGGCGGGGGCAATTTGCATATTGGAAACTGGATCTGATCAAATTGCTAAGGCAGCGACACGCCCCAAACGAAATAGTTTCTTTTAGAAGGACCAGTCTTGTCCCCTCGTCCAGTTCAACGGAGTGCAGGCGGAGCCAGCAAGCAATTTGGAATTAGAAGCGGCTGAGGCGACTGTGGCTGTGGTTGTAGATGTGGCTCCCGGGGGGCAGTCCATTGCCATCGACAAGTCTTGAATAAAAATTATATTCAAAATATTGATTACAATGATTAAAGAAATTGCCCCCGCCTGGAATATCGGATATCTTGGGTCCTGCCCTGGGGGCACCGCTCGCCTCGCAAAACGGATAATTGGTAATACTTATTCTCATTCGGCTTGATCGTGCAGAAGGGGAAGTTCTCTGCCGGTGCGGCGCTCTCTGTCAGCACATTGAAGAACGTCGACTTGCCCACATTGGGGACGCCGACGATGCCGATTCTCAGATTGGTGCCAATGCGTCCGATCAGGGGCTTGCGTTCCGGCTCATCGTGCTTCTTAGGTGGCATCTTGTGGCTGTTATTCTCTGGTCTGTTCCTCTGTGACTGCTGTTGGCGGAAGAACTCAATTTTTGTTTAACTATTTTCGGCCAGCCGTTTCGACATAACCTCACTCTCGGCGGTCAAAGCTTACATGCGCTGGGCTGATGGTGTGTGTTCCACTGTTGTCTTCCGCTGCAAGGGCCAATCGATTTGTTAGCAAATTTTAGAAAATCTTTGGTGGAATTGTTTTAAATATTTACAAATAACTTTGGATGCGGCACATGTGACCGCGGATTTCTTACCGCAAGACCCTCAAAAATATACCTAAATATGCCGTGTGTCATTTTTAAAATATACCATAAAAATACCGTAAATATTAAATCATATTCTTAAATTTTGCTATTCTATTCAATATTACCAGCTAGTTAGGACTCACAGCGCAAAAGATATATTTTTATCCAAATCATCAATCGATTTCCCACAAGAAAAATAGGACACACAACAACAAATGTGCATAAAACGATACGTGAATGGGAATGGAATCGTTCCTATCTGACACATTATTGCTTGTCAACCGGTAGGTATATATATAAATGGGATTTCCTGAACTTGGTTTGGGTGGTAATGGACGTATGACATTTTCGATTCCCTATAATATTGAACATACCCTACAAATGCAATTTAAAGACGGATGAAATTAATTACATATACCATGAATATACATCGAACTAAATATCGTAGTTATATGCATAAAAAACCTGGTCAATAGCTGCTGAGGCCGTGAAAAGAAAGTGCGAGCGAGAGGGACCGTTCAACGAACAGCTGTAGACCCGTTCAGGGCTGCTTGCGTCCGCAGCGCAGCCTGCGGCTTTTTTGTGCATCATTAGTTCACAGCGCTGGGCAACAGAGAGCGCCAGGAGCAAGTGCGCGCATTTTGAATTGCGCCTCGAGGCGGGGTTTATAATGTAGAGAGCTTTACACGACTTTAAAGGGTGTTTTCTGAGTTATTTTGTTTCAGGAATGCTGTTACACTGCTTAACAAGATATTCAAAATATGCTTTTTACAAAGAGTCATACAAATATTTCAAACCTGTACTTATGTTGCACATAAGTTTCCCTCGACTTCTCCTCTTGCTCATTATTTTGTCATATTTTTTGGCATAGTTGCAAGTGATCGCTCTGCTTCCCCTGCGCTGTAGCACAGTGTGGCACACACGGTTAAGGCGTTCAACTGATCTGTCAAGGTCATGGCGATCGACGCACGTACACGCAATTTGGCGGTTTAGTGAAAAGCCCGCAATAATCAATAATTTCACATAATTAGACGCAGCCCAGACTCAGACTCAGAGCCAGAGCCAGAGCCAGACCCAGCCATCGATCCCTTCGATCGCAGCCTTTATTGCCAACTGAAACGCAACTTGGTCGCAGCAAAGTGGTCAAGGAGGGGAACTCAGAGGAGAGAGCTGGTTTATTGATCTGCGCTGATCCGCTGATTGTCGACTGTTGTCGAATCGTTGTTGCCATTCCGCGGATTCACTTTGATTGATTCCCGCATTTGGCCTCGCGTTTATGGCCCTAATTAAAAGATCCGTTATGCGTGATCGCTTAGCTCTGCCTCCGTGTCCCCTCTCTGCCGTCCTTGGGGTCATGTGCGTGCTAGAGAATTTACTTATAATTTCACGCTGTCTTCCACTTTGTCTTGTTGCAGGTTTCCTTGCGGTTTTCGAACCATTTAAAAATCCATTTGCAACTGACCCTGGACAACTGTCGTACCAGCCATGCCCTTCCCCTGCCCCTTGTTTGCTCTTCCATGTAATACCTGTGTAATGTTTGTCCACAAACCGCACTCTCTCGTGTGTGTGTAAAAAGTCAAGTCAATTATTTGCTTGGAACAAAACAATTTTTCTCACAGGCCTCGCAGTCCTTGCGGTTTGCCTGCTGACGTTTGCCAGGACCTGCGGTTATCCGTTTAAAGATGTGCATCTGCGTGGCGGCCAAGTAGCTATTCCTGATCCACAATTCCAAATGTTGCTCCTTCCCATCTATGATCTATATATGAGATCTTTTCAGATCTTCGCTCCTACTCTTGGGCCTAATTTTCACTCAGTCCCAGCATAATTCGAATATTAATTTGTGTTCTTGAAGAAGCCTGCCTACTGCCTCTTTTGCATATTGTTTGTGGCTTTGTGTTAATTAAGCTGCTCTTTTAATTGCCTTTTATTGCGCTTAATTATTGGACTGGGAGGCACCTTTTGGCCTATGCTGCCCGCATCGTTGGGGCAGGGGCCTCATAAATTTCTATCCCATATAATTGCAGCCTTCTGCGTTTCGAATTAACCAAACGAGCCTGAGATCCAACCTCGTATCCCCCCAGCCCTTAGCCGCTCCCTCGCTGCCTATTTCGCACCCACATTACGCGCAGGGCGTGGCCCAGAGTGGCTCGGAGTGGCGGCTGCTGCTGCTGCTGCTGCTGCTGAGGCAGGTGAACGGAACCGTACATCAAGTTTCATTGAGTCTCGGAATTCATTTTCATATGTATATGCGTTGGCGCTGCCTTCTTTTCCTTTTCCTTTTCCTTTTCGTGTTGCTCCAATTAAAAGAGCGTAATGGGATCGTTGGGTTGGGGGGAGGGCACAAATAAAACTGGAAAAGTGGCGAAAACAGAAAACAGAAAACAGAGAACGGAAAAACCCTATTCATATTCATATTCACATTCGTATTCATATTCATTCGGTTTTTATTGCCTCTAATTATAATGCTGGCAACGTCGTCGGACTGTATTCAAATTGTTTCACGCCGCGGAACATTTTCGGGCAAACACAAAAGACTGAGGCAACGAACTTGAAATGATCTGCTGGGCTGCTTAAACTGCTTCAAATAATTATGAGTATCCACAGCGGATATACAGGTATATTATAATAATAAAGTGAAATCTTACTATTTTGAGGGCACCAAAAAATTCGATTTGTGCAGAAATTTGAACCGACTGACGCCCAAAATGAAAATGCAACGAAATGACACGACTGAAATTAGTTCTGAAATGGAGCATGAATGGATGGGGAAAGTTTGACTTGCCCGAAAACGTATCGGATCTATGTTACTAAAATAATTCAATTATTTAAAAATATTATATTATTTTCTATGATATCACTTTCTTTGGTCTTATCTATTAACTGCAGATAGTCAAATAATTAATTCATAATTCATAATTTACTATTGAAACCAAGTCTAAGTTGTACGCATTTCATTTTCATATTTACTGCTCGTTTTGAAACTATTTTTAGTGCATTTTTACTGCATTATTTTACTGCACACAAGGTACACATTTAATTTAAATGTTTTTGTATGCCCATAAAAACTTTGACAGCATCGAACAGCTGCACATACCAAAGAAAAACAAATATATAACGATTACATAAAGTTTAACATAATTAATGGGAGTGTTGTACACATTCTAACTTAAATATATTCCTGCTTACATTTTAAGTAAATCTGCAGTAACTTTTTGTACAAGCAGAAGTCTCATTTGAGTTTAGATTTTCGCCATTTCCATTTCCATTTCCGTTCTATTTCCATTTAAGTTCCCTATTGGGTTTGTCCTTCGTGCTCAACTGAGATCTCAACTCTCGTTCAGTTAAATCTTGAGTGGAATGGAAAATGCTTCGAATCAGAGCTCACAGCGCCGTCACAGCTGGCCGATAAGTTAAGGAACTTTGGGCGAAGCACGCTCCACAATTACCCCGGTGAATGGTGCTCTGTGCTCGGTGCTCAGCTTCCCTGTTCCCGATTAGTGTCCTGCGGTGATAATCGCTTAATACAACAGCAGATATCGCAGAGAGAATAAAGAGAGAGTAGGCCCCTGGATGGGGAGAAAAGAATGGAGGCGCCAAGCCTAGAACTCCGCAGGGGCAGCAGCACCGCAGCTCCGCAGCTGTGTGGCGATAGTCACGTGTTTGTGGCAGAGTGTGTGGAGAGAGGGGTGTGGGGATAAATCATGGCATGGGGGGGGGGAGCAGAGCTGCACCTATGTGTTTATAATTCGTTTACGGGAGGATGCCACAGGATGCCGTTCGTTGCTGCTGCAAGGGTGCGTTTCCATTTCCATTTCCATTTCCATTTACCCCCCACCTCCACGGTTCGGTTTGGTTTTTTGTGTTGTTGGTTTCTCCCTGTGCCTGCGCCCTGTGCCGCTTTTTGTTGCATTGTTGTTTTTCCCAGCTCATGATTATTATTGCGTTTATTACGATTTCCATTTTTCGAGACCGTGTGGCAAGGGGAGTGGCCCGGGCACCGCCCCCTTTATATTTCATATTTCATTTTTTTTTACTCACTCTCTCCCCCTCTCTCTCTATCTTTCGGGTGCATTCCTACTTAAATATATTTATTCCCGTTCCGGTGTCAGCTTTTTCTATAACAATGACACGGAGACCCTGTCTCTCTCTCTGTCGCTCTCTCGCTCTCTTCGTGTCTCCGCGCAGCACCTTTGGCCCTTCGTCTGTGTCTCCCTGTGGCAGGCCCTACCCTTATCTCCACTTCCTCTGCGAGCATCCCCATCCCCATACCCATGCCATGGCGTGCCCTCGCCCTTGCCCCTGCCACATTCTCGTATCCCTAGCTCTTTGTCTCCTGCATCTTGTTCTGTTCTTTTTTTTCTTTCCGTTTTTTATATCTTACGTGTACTTTTTGTTGTTGTAATAATTCATAATTTCTTTGGTGTCTTGCAACATGTAATTTGGCAGCTGATGCATTGATGGCACATCGTTGAGGCCGCGGCAGCAGCAGTTGCAATTTGCATGACGGTCGCGGCCATTAGGCGGCTCTGGCGCTGCACTTGGCTATCCATGGGCTCAAATGGATCCTTGGTTGGGCTGGCAACGTTCTGCAAATGTCGGCGGCTTAGCTGGTGGATCAGAAGGCCAGAAGATCGATCAATGGGTTGGGTATGGGTATGGATATGGCTCTGCGAAATGCAGCGAGCGGCAGGGCTACTTTGTTGTAGGAGTCCGTGGAAGTTGTGGCAGCTAGTCCCGTGTAATATTATGTCCAATCCGCAGAGTTCCAAGACACATCAAGACGCTAAGAGTATGGGCTAGATGGAAATTTATTAAGAACTTTGTAGAATTGTTTTGGAACTCTTGAGCATTTTTTGGGAATTTTGAAGGGTGATTGTTCGTAGTTTTTTTAGTTTTAAGGCACTTTTAAGCATCACTTTGCTGGCCAGATATAAATTCTTCTCATCTTCTTTATCTTCTTCTATCTTTAAGGAATTTTGCAGA